CCTGTCAGGGATGATTTAGACTGGAATCCTTCTAACCAGAAGAAAGGTACTCAGTTTTCCCACCGATTTATACGTGAAACACGCAGCTGGTACGATTGTTGTGAGTCGCAGTGTATCAGGCTGCCAGGCGAGTGACGCCCTAAGCCGAATGAGCTGAGTAAGCCTTCATTATCCAAGCTCCTCAACTAATCGACTGGTGCTTGCTGGTTTTGTAGTAGTGAAGCAGCGCAGCCCCGGGTACAAGGGCCATTCAACGAGTTGACCACAGCAGTGTTGCCGCATGTGCTAGAAAACTGATAACTACGAATAAGTGGGCTTAGCCCTCCCGGGTTTGCTCTTCCTTTCTCATACTATAGTACTACGATTCACATATCTATTTATTGCACATGGATGGTACCTTACACTGCATTGCCATAACTGTACTGTAAACAGTTTGCACATGAAAGAAGCCGACACCTATACGCGCAGATTAAGTTTCCCAGGTGATTACAAGCACTCATGGTAGTGAACAAATTTTTATCGTTTGAATTCTATGTATCGATCCCGCGTCTATCATCACCCCATTGAGAAGTACTACTATAAAAAAGACCGCCTCTTCGGAGGAAACATCATCCTAGATATCATCAGCGTTACAAAGGACAGGGGTATTCGGTTTTTACAGCTTTGATGACCTGTCTAAATGGCTATCAAAGAAGCGCGTTTCACATCTATCTGGTCCGTAACTGAAGTTCAAAAGCAACTTTCACGTGTCTCCTCTGGGAAAGGAATCAATGTATGTTTATTGAAGCAGCATTGGTGAAAATATCCCCAACGACCTTAAGTTGCATAACTGTATTGCTCCGCTTGCAATAAACTGATGAGTAGATCGCTGCACGAAGTGGTGAAATCTACAAAGTCCTGTGAACAATCCGTTTTAAAGAAGATTTCCTCATCATCATCATCGACAACATGAAATCAGTGTTCAACACTGATGCTTCACTGCCGTAAGATTCCAGGGGTAGCTTAAATGATATCATTTTCTTCAAAAAATCAACCTAAAGATCACACAACTGTCCTCATTCATACAATACATAACCAAATAAACTGGGAACAGAACGACAGACATCTCTTTATTAAGGTAACCTGGTAATGTTCCCCGAGTCTACACAAGTGCGGTCACGAAGTACAAGTGGCAGACGAACCCATTTCTATTCGCCCTCTCAAAACATTGAAAGTTGAGCTCACCGAATTGTGCCTAACGAGCTGTTTTCGCGAAGAAGCGCTGCTTCGATGTTTGCGAAAGTCTGATTCTGAATGTCCAACGTTTTTGCTTTGTTGCCAGGACCGCTACTGCACGAACAGGAATAAACCATAGGTCGACTCAATGTTGGCTGTGGTACATCAACCAGTCTGTCCTGATGAAGCCCTTGTTTTTTTTCAGTAGTGCTAACCTTCACTGCAGAATGGGATGACTTCCGCGTGTTTATTGGTGAGACCGATATTTTAGGCCGAAGAGAGACCCATTGTCGGTATGATGGGAAAACTGACTTGGTTTATACGATCTGGTATTGACTGCAATGAGTACTCTATGTAGTTCCTGTTTCATCAGAGATAGTGCATCACCACGCAGACTATTTTAATCCCAATCCTATAGGATCGGTTACCAGATTTAATCGACTGTTACAGTGTAGAAATGCTACCCGCATTGTCTTGTTAATACATTCCTTTTAACCACTTCTAAACTATTCCCATCCATGTCTCGTCTTCGCTTTATCTCACCCAATCGATCTGGCTATCACACAAAGACACTTTGATCATCGATCATTACGTTACAGTCTATGACACATGTCATTTGTTGCCCTGATTCTGGCTACATTCAAGACACTGTCAGATGTTTGCTAGTTTCCTGTCCACCTTCTTCCGCACGCACCTCCACCATCTTTGCCCACCTGCCAGCCAGATGTCTGCCTTATCCTACCCAGTTCGGCCTAATCAACTGTGAAGGTGCAGTCAACTCAGTGTTGCATCCAATGTCTATTGTGGTGGTGGCGGTGGCGGTCGTGTGTAACTTGTGACGGGTAGGTAAAAAGGGATTTCAAACACAGCTGTCAGTCCTACCGATGCGAAAGATGTCAGCGTCAACACGTTTCTAAAGCCTGGGACGACACGTGTTTGTCACGCAGACAAGAACGAACGCATACGGTAGCACGCATGTATTCACACACAGACACAGACACACAGTGGGAGGTTTATGAAGCGTCTTGCTAATTAACAGCTGCGGGTCAGCTGTAGGTAGCTTGGGCATGTTGAATAAACGGAAAAGTTCGGACTATGACTGTCGGTTCTGAGGATGCCTGAAACACGAATCGACTTAAGCTAAAGAGTACGCTTTCTGGACACCAGAAACGCTAGATTGACCATTTGAGTTTGAATAACCGAATAGTGTCGTAAGTCTCAACCAGGAATCTAGATTCCACGGTATATCATTTACAATACCCACGTAGTGAGTAGTTTCAGTCACACTATCGTAGTAGGTGACCAACTACGCTCATCCTTGCGAGGGCCATCCAGGGGGTCACAACAAAACCCTTCAATGTGGATGTGTCCAACTGTCCAAAGTTCGCTGTGGTTCTTCTTAACAGGGATGTGTCTGGCTGACTGGTAGGAACCATTAATTTTACCCTCGTAAGTGGGATTGTACGAGCAGTAAATTTCCCTCTGAAGTGTTTCTGAAACCGGATGCGATACCTATAATAACATATTCCGGTTATATTGAATAGTTTTTATGAACTACGCGTTATCCTTTGCGTTCCTATCCTCGTGTAGTGTTTCAAGGTCCCTTTTTCGAAGCCCTTCTTCTGACTTTCTAAGCTGAACCCTTCATTAATTCCTCTTTTGAAATTTTTCGATGAATGGGTCCCCTCAAGCCAGTCGTTAGCTGCGTTGCTTTGATCAACTACTAGAAGAGCCAGCATGGATTCCAGCAGTTGGTCAACACATGGCAGACGTGGCCACATTAGAATGGATCATGCTACCCTCATATCTGCTTCTGGTAAGACGATGATATGTAACTTTCCCCCGGTAAGCTGAGAGACTAGTCACGGAACCGTTCGTGTTTGACCACTTGCCGAATTTATTCACTGTTCTCTCCTCTAGTAAGAATCGTAGGGCAAGATCTTTGAGGATGTGTCTTGTGAGAGTTCATTTGCTAGGCGGGATGCGACTTCGTCTCTTCTGATCCCAATTCCTAAGAGCAGGCAGGCACTGCTTGCCCCCCGCGCCCGTTCCCCTTTACATAGTCGTAGAGCACCTTTGAGGGTACACAAAAATCCATAAGCAACTTTTTGTAATGTTACATGAAGGTGTGAAGCACCGGGTTTAAGCACAATGCTCAATTTTTATGTGCGCGCTATGTTGATGACAACACAGGAAATTCAGCAACCCCCGCTTGAGACATCACGAAGACTTAACCAGACACCACAGAATTGCGAAGTACATTATTATTTGTTGAAGAAAATGACTAAGTTGTATGAGCATTTAGAAACCTTCTCTGTTCAAACTAGTGGGAAGTTCAGTTGAAAGACGGATAATCACTCATGTTTAACCTAAAGAGTCACAGCCTTCTGCTCACCTTATCACTTCCATTTACACTCACCAAGTCAGATGGCCGTTACATGTCACTTGGACGATTGACAGTTTAACACCCCAAAATTTCCCATCTCACAACCCAGAGTAAGAGCGTGTGTGTGTGTGTGTGAAGAAGAGACAAAACAGACAAACTTTTGTTGTACAGCCATGGTTACGGTCATACCCACATATTCTAACCGGCATGAAAATCAGTAATTTCCCTGGAGCAAACGACAGTTTCAGGTCAGTGACCTACCCAAATCGCGCAAGAGCACTATTCGAGCCTGGTGGCCACACCCATAAATTTAATCAGGCTTAATGTCATTTTTGGGACATAGCCTAATGTAACCTACATTCACGTTTTTGGGGAGGGGTTGTTTTTCATCCCACCCTTATATGTCACAACAATTCATTGTTGTCTTGCATAGCTTGGCTTGTCCTATACCCATAACTGCTGAAAGGGTGGCTGGCTGGTTGACACCATTGTTCACTGAACAATGAATCGATCAATCATTTTGTCCTATCAATCGATTCCCAAAACAGTACACAGTAGGTACATGTCAACTGGTGGTCCAGAAACTTCTCTCATGGTTAGCTTGTGTTGTGTTATGCTCAACTGCGCAAGACAAATCGCTTCACGATAGAAGGGATGCAAAATGTGTTTGCAGACTGACTGACAGAATGCTCGAGTGCCTGACTTTATTGGTCCACAGGTGTTAGTTGTGGAACACATGGTTTGCCAGATTCGTTTAGTTCCTATGTAAGGTGGCTAAGGTGAATGCGCTTTTCCCATTAGAGTTTGGTCACCGTAACTTGAAGCAAAGCCTTTGATTGACTTCCGATAATGGCAGATGTCTTAAGGACCGGGGGGAATTTTGTAGCATTTGTTACCCGAATTGTACGGATTAAAGCATTCTGGTGGGCATCAGCATCTGCCTTCTCTGTCCGTTAGAATTTACCATCATAAGAAGCGTCTCACTCCATCCGTTAGGTTAAGATAATCACTGGAAGAATGGAGTTCAGGGAACGCAAATTTTGTTTCCATCTCCGTGACTAATTGAACCTATGTATCCTGGAGCGTTCAGTTGGTATAAACTTGTTGTAATCCGCTGATGGTTGGAAGTCTCCTCGTTCACGCGGCTCATTGATTTTTTATATACGCGGAGATACCCTAAAAATAGAGACTCGGCTTATTTGCCGGACGGAACAACAGACTTCAAGTCGGCTGAAATGGCTCAAGGCGATACTAAATTAAGCCATTTTGCGTCCACTAGTCGAAAGACTGTCTAGTGTATAATTGTACCACTAGCTGAATTCGTAGCTCGTTTGAAGTTGATTGAACTTCCATGCTTGTGGCAGCCAAGTTTTCATTTTATTCTGCTTTCTATTTTTAGTTCGTGGCATCCGGGTCACATCGATATGATCTACCACCCGCCCTAATGGCTCCAGTGTTATCCAGTCAGATCAAGGTACGAGAATCTAGCAAGTCAACCTCATCACACCAGTCCATCAGAGACCATCTAGATAGGAGAGACTGTACTGGGAGAGAGAATTCAGCCACATCTTCGAACAGCTCATTTTGTTGTGCCTCTTACCATCCAACTGGAAATCGAAGGAAACGCCACTCCAGCTGCGAAGCTTTGCTGCACTCGCAACACAAACGTTTTGCGGAGGATCGTGACTACAACACACTGGAAGAAATGCAACCGAATTTCACTCGACTTTTGACCTGCAATGAACCTCATCGAGACAAAAGCTTGAATCCATCCTATCCCTTCCGCTCTTCAGACTTGATTGCGGCAGCACAGTTGATGGAAAGAGCGTCCACTAAAAGTGGCATTGATAACGTTCATGACGTACTGGCTTCCTCAGCTAAGAGAACCACCAGCCCGCCACCACACGTGAGCGCCCTCCAGACTAGCTATTCACGGCTGAGCCCATTACAGGCTTCCCTATCAACAGGTGTCAATCCTTTGCTTATCTCCGCACTGATGTCATCAGGATGTTGGCCCTTTTCAAATCAGTTGTCTAATGAGTGTGATGGTGTAAAAAATTTATTGAATGGTTCACTCGAGAGCTCACAATCAGCTAGTCTCCTAAGCACTATCAATCGAACACCAGCTTCCGGATTCCCACCAGTTCTTTCACCTGTATCGACTGCGGTTTCACCAAATCCCTATAAAATGAACCAAAGTAGAAGTCCGAAACTACATTCCTCCGCGTTGACAAGCACCACTACGAGCAGCCTCATTCAGGCTGTCAAGCAGATTCCAGATGCGACCACCTCTCAGTCGCCCAGTCAGTTCAGCCATTCATCACCGATGGCATTCGGTGGTGGATCGAACGTGCCGTCCATGACTTCCAGGTCATTTATCAACTGCCCACCATTCAGTTCGCTCAGCAATCAAGCAAACAACACTAATGCTATGCTTAACCAACAACTCGCTTTCCCAATTCCACTGAACTTCCTTGGAAACGGTACTCTGAATAATGATCCAAGTCAGTCAGCTCTAGCGAATGCACTGTCAGCATGGTGTCATCAACACATTGAGACTTCAAATTTACTACCCTATAACTTATCCGGAACTGGACTCACTTCCGGTTCCACGGCGACCAGTACGGTTAACAATGAAAGTAACCTCATTGCCAACCTCTTCAGTTCGACAAGCTGTCCCATGGACATCAAAACTTCGTTACTACCAAACAGAGACAGTCCGAACAATAGCATGGCACATACATCACATACAACCACACGTACCAATTACCCTGGTGAAATGGTTCTCCCTAATGTCACTGAGAATGGAATGATTTCACCCCTAAGGAATCCATTAACTAATACACCCTTTGGAAATGCTGCCTCTACGCTGAACTGCAATACCTCTCCCTTTGTGCCCTTTACGTCATCAGCCAAATATAACAGCAGTCAGGAAACGCAACCCAATATCGCAATATCCCAACCTTCCTCCCTAGCTGCAATGATGGCCGCGGCTGCTGCAGCTATGGCAGGTATTTGCAGACCGAACTCTCGAGATGTCTACAACCTTGGTATCACATCAACTGCAAACAACACAGGTGGCACTGGGAGTGGCAACGGTGGCGCGGAACATTCTCGGCTGGCGGACGACGAAGTGGAGGAGGAACGAAGCGAAGAGGAAGTCGACACAGAAGTGGATGAATTCATGCAAGAAATTCTCCTGCACCGCGAAGGTAGGGGTGGTTCCGCGTCTCCTGGCATGGGAACGGTCGATTTTCTTGAATCCAAGGCTGCTAAGCATTCCCGTCCACCTTCGCGAATGAACGGAGAAACGAGAGGAGAGAAAGGTGAGATCTACGTTTTTTAAAAGTTTCGCTTTTGAGTTCAATTCAAACACGATGGTTAGATCTTCGGGGAGGGAGCGAAGCAAAAACTAGAATTTACATCTGTGTGCAGTTTTTACACATATTGGTGTTCACAATTCCCTAAGTCTGTTCAAGGTTAAGAGGGAAAGAGAGAGAGAGAGGATTGAGGTTAACCCGAAGTTTTCAAGAAGAAAACTACTCACAAGGTTACTGAAAACTCTTCGACAGCCCACGACCGGTTTCGCCCTTCTTGGGGCTCATCAGGTAGACGCAGTCCCCGAGTTTCCGTCAACCTTATGATCTACTTGCACCCAAATTGCACTGTTTTCGAGAAATACACTCATTTGCAAATCAATTTGGTTTTCACTGGAGACTCAAGTGAATCTCTCGTTTATGATGTCCTCCAGCTGAATGTGCGGCACACAGGCCGCCTCATGGTTCAGTTGGCACGATATTCGAGGTATCGCAGTATATTTTCGTAGAGGAAACTACTCACAAAGCTACTGAAAACTCTTCGACAGCCCACGACCCGAAGTGGTTCTGCTGGAGCCTGTTGCTCACGGTTAACGATCTTTCGAACCAGTAATAGTGTTAGCCTGGCCGTCTTTTGGCCTTTCGAGCGTAAAATATCTGGAATCTCGAGATGTCAGTCGGCGTTTGCATGATATTTTGCGCGTTAAGTTGGATACAAAGGGACCCAGTTCTTGCTTCAAGTAGGCATACAGACACCGTATAGTCCACCGGAAGCAAAAAGGGCATTCATTATGCACAAATGACCTCAAATGACCTCGAAACGGAGCCCAGTTACGGACGCTCCGGTCAGAACTTTGACGCTTTAACTTCGCAGCATTCTGATTCCATATATGACGAATGTCGGATAATTCTCGTTCGTATAAAACTAGAAGGAATCGTTTCAACCTCATTTATCGGAAGAGCAAAATCTCGTTCCGCAGTCCACAATCCGAACAACGTGTTTACTGGTTGACGTGATGCAAACTAATTTCCCATTTGCCGCGGTTGTTGCCCTAGTGTAAAACTGCCCGGAAAGTGCAGAGGTAGAACAACACCGGATCAGACTACAACTGGGAGTATGCAGACCTGCGAAAAAAATGCTAGGTTTCTTTCAAACCTTACGATGCAACAACGCCCTTGACGCATTTCGTCAAAACAAGATTCTGTCAAAATGAACTGTTGACCAATACCATAAACAATAGGATAAGATTTATACAGTTTGGAGAATAAATAGAATAGATAAGTAAATAAACCGTTCAGCTGTAACACCCTTTCGTGCCTAGCTGCCAAGACACTCGAAGGAAGCGTGAGGGATGGGAGATTGCCAGGTTGCCAAGGCGTAGATTGGGGAATTGGAGATGCAGATATCGAGTTCGAAATACAGATCTTCCGGTCAGTAAATTCACACTCTAACCACTGAGTCATCTAGCCCTTAAGTTTGGAAAAACTCCATCTCGTTAGGATTTACAAGGTGTGGTGTACAGAGAGGCGACGTAGCATGTGTTTGTGAATTACTGTTCATGAAACCTCAGTTGGAAGAATCATGACGAATATCAGAGGGGTAACGTCATTTGAGCGAAGCGCTCGCGAAAGTGTTCTACGGATCCGTAGCTTTCGGCTTTCGGTGTTAGCCTGATTGGTGGCGTGGGCAATCGGGTTGCATACGAATTTGACCCTAATTCAGGGAGTATGAGTTGTGTGAATGCATCCAGCTCATACACAACAAGTACATGGCTATCTGGGCTCTAGCAAGGGGAAGGTTGCATGGATGGGAATCAGCGCACCGGTGTCTCTATGGGTTAATGAACTTCAAAGTGACTTTTGTAAGTTTAGTTAGAAAAAAATCCACACTTGCGCGGAAATCCAAACCGGCGCCTTCGGCGTGAACCACAGCTCTACATGTAGCCCCGGAGTTAACCCTGTAGAATACATCTGAGACATACTATCGATAATCACAGTGTGTACGGCCGAAGAGTTGACGGCTATTCCAGCCCTCGCCTGAAGAACTTCCCATGCTTGAACCACGCTCACACGTCAAAATGCGGTTAAATGGGAAAACCTGAGCTAAATTGATTCCTGCAAGTTGTACGACGCCGAGCTCAGTTGTATAACTCGTTTTTCGACCTGTGATTCCAGGCCAGGTTTTATAAATAAGTTTTGTTCACATTATCCATGTCAGACTTACGCATACATGAATGCCTTTACGTCTCAAAGTCAACTGCAGTTTGTCTGGTATGAACCGAAATAGTGTTTATACGATTCAGTGTGTGTAAAGTCCTAAAGTGCAGGCAGCAGCCGTTTCGACAAGTTAGTTTGAGTAGCCAAGTTTGGAATTCTGGCTTCATAGGTTAACTGCTGTTCACAATAATCAGGCCTCGATACCAAGTCTATTCGTCTACATGTCTACTACACACGCAAATCATGCCACCTCGCGAACTACCATGGTAACTACTTTCGTAGCCTCGTGGTCCTAAAAACTACTTCGCTAGTTCGTCTGCCGTAGCACCACCAGGCCAGGTGAAGTTTTAATTGTGGTGATTTGAACTCTAATACGGTCAAACATGTGCCGACTGCGGCTGAAACATATGTGCATTGCGTGTGCCATGTAGACAATCCTGGAGGACACCCCTTGTCTTACGAAACCTCAGTTTGGTGCAACTATGACAACTGCTGTCCTGGCGGTCAACAGTGTCATTCACGAGGCAGCCAATCAACTGAAAGTCATTTTGCGTGCGAAATTACAAGGTCGAACTACTGACTGTTGCTTGCACTGGCACACAACGCACCCGCATATCCACATGCTATACCTTCCGCTGGCACATACGCACACAACCTCAACGACCTTCATCGTACGGTTTCACACGCAGTTTGTGCAGAGTGTAATCTCTTGAACAGTTGCCTGTCAATCTAGCCAGATTTGTATCCTGGCTGCTCTCTTACCTCATGCGTCAATCAGTCAAAATTGCCGATCAATCATTCCATCTATCGATCGTTTCTGCAATCGTTTCAGGTAAAGGATGACAATGAAGCCAAATGTCTCGGCCAAACGACAAGGGGGGCGACGCTTAGCCTTCGTGGCTAATCGGAAAACATGGTTGGGGTGATAAGGACGCACAGAATTTTAAATTCAAATCTGCTGGTAATCAGTTCATGCAGAGACGCATCACACTGTTGAAGGCATCGCAGTTGTCAAGTTGTTCGGGTTGGGTGGCTTGCAATTTTTGTGTGCTCAGCTAAACAGATGAAGTTCGTAACTTGTCAGGCAACTTTTTGTTCGTTTGTTTGCTCGCTTGCGTACGTGTGTATGTTTGTGTGCAATTGAGCGACAGTGTGCAAGTCAGCTGCCAAACACGTCTTTAAAATGTCCATCTCATTAACGCTTGGTCCTCTTCTCGCGCGTGTCGTAACTGAACTACAGAGCATTGGCAATTGGTACAACGGTCATGATCACAACAACGCCCGTTACAATTGTAGCAAACATGTGCACCAAGGAACTACTTTAAACATACTGCATATGTCGCAATAGCTAAAGGTAATTGAAAAGCGTATTTTAAGTGAGAGATTGGAAACTGGAAGGTTAGTCGCCAAGAGAAAAGCACCAGCCTTCCCCAGAGCACTTTGCTAGAACGCCGCTTGCATATTCGTTGGGAATTCTTGACCGATCCACTGACAGTTTCACCTTTGTTTCTCCCATCAGTCCTCTAAGTTCCTGCATTCTCGAACCAATCTTTACCACCCAGTTGAATTCCTGAATTCCTCGTACACCATATGATTCAAATGAGTGTGCTGGATGAAGGCGGTATCATTTTTTAGTTCGAAGGATATCGAGCTATTTTGTTTGTTATGACACTAGACAAAGGGTGAAGAAAACCTTAGGACAGCTGACCGAACCTCATTCGAAATGAAACACGGTCCGCCACATTTATTTGAAGAACACTATAGATAAGAGATGCAGATGAGTTTCCAGTGAACACCGTGATTTGTGGAAGAGTGATCCGTATTAAATGGTGATCCGCAGCTGTACAACCGTACCAATGGGTGGACCATGAAATAATCGAAGGTGGATATTGATCGAGCTCGCTCCTGGTTTTTTTTTCACAAACCATTTGGGCGCAACCCACCCACGATGTGGAGTTCGCAGCTGTTAAATTCACTTCTGTCCTGATTGTTCCGTTGACCAGCAAACAGAAATTATATACCATAAATCGTCCTTGTGCCAATCAGGGAAAATCCTTTCGGATCCATCTGAAAAGCTCGAGATACATCAAGACTGTGGTGTCACTAAGACCAGTTTCTGACTGAACTGACAGCTGTTTTGACGTCCAAATGTTCAAGAAATCTCCCTCTTATTCGTTGCTAAACTAGACTTGACTGCTGAGAATTTAATGCAAGTTTGCCCTGCTCAGTTAGCAATGATTTTAGCATGGTTGAGCTGAAAGCGTCAACTTACATTATCGGTACTTTTTGGCATTTCTGAAGGACCTGTGCGCGATCGAAAAGCAAACAGCGTTTGGCGCCACCCAGAATAGTCTCTTCCTTCATTTTATACAACTGTTTCACCTGCTTGAGTCAAGTTATGTTTAGCTGATTTGCAAAAGGTAGGACCTTGGGGGGGGGGGGTTGGAGTATTCTGTTTCTTGAGTATCCGCATTTTGGGGGCTCAAAAGCAGTTCGTACAAGCAAATTAGAATGGGGTATCCACTTTCTTTCTTGAAAGTAATCACTCCCTGGTGTTATGCTGTCACCATCACGAGAAAACTGAACCTGACCGCCATATGATGGTTTGTGCATCTTTATAACCTATTGAGCTATACTGAGGAGCGTACGTGTGACATTCAAAGGTTCGTCAGTGACTAGAAGGCTCAGATTTTCCTGGTCCTCCAGTCTGCGGTTGAAACATGTGTGGCGAATTGCTATTTACAAATGGAGGCTGGTTTGGTGGCCTTACGCCAACCTCACTGCTAGGGCTCTCAGCCACAGACCGGCTGAAGACTCTAATTGTCCTCCTGTCTAGGACTGGGTTCCCTGGCAGTATTCCACCGCGCTTACCACCAGCCTAACTTGTTTCATACAGCAGGGTAGGTAAGCGAAAACAAGCTACTACTGATGCCTTCATCCTTTCCTTCTCTCAAATATCCGTTCTTCGCTTCCGCCTTATCCCGTTGTGGCCCATAACTCCCTTTCTCGACAGGAATTCCTGCCATGTCAGACGATCGATTGAGCACTCTTGTGACCAGAGCTTGTGTGTCCGTGGACTGTGTGAATGCTCAAGGAACACCTACAGTTACTCTTAAATTGACCTGTACTGTTGGACTCAGACCCCCATTTTTAGGGCCATCGCACTAATGACAATTTCTTGATGCATGTTATTCTGAGTCTTGTTCGCACGCGTGGTCGTACATGGACAGTTGTGTGCTGGCGAATGTGTTCACAAGCGTAGAGAGCTGAAATTTGAGTAGGCGAATTGGCACGTGAGTAGGTTGTTTTTGGTATTTCTTGTGCTGGTGAATTGTGACTGAAACATTGCGCGCGCTTGCCTGCACGCACCATGGATAGATAGATGAGCGAGTGATCAGTCAGGGTGACTGATGTGCCTTGACATGAAAGCTCGCGACGCAGTCACACACACACACACACATACATACACAGGTACACACACACACACACACCAATATAACTGGCACACGCGCCCTGGCAAATTAAGGCATCGATTCTTTTGGTAAAAATCGAAGCCCCGGCTATCGAGTTAGCTCGTGTCTACATGCCAACCAAGCGACTCCACCAGTTCCATATGCGGACAAATGTTCCAAATTTAGCCACCTTCCATTTGTCACGTACAATAAATGTCATTGAATGTCTTAATTTTTTTGCAAGTCCCATGAGTGTGTTTCGAATGCCAGCAGGAGAAGTCGCTCCTTTTGGTGCTAACACGCCGGGTATGCCTACCTTTGGAGATATGTAGCTCTAGTATACGTCTTCATCAAACTGGGGGATAAAAAGCTTCTTCCCGTGATCGAATTCTGATCTCACCTAAACCTAGAAAATCTTCGCTACATTTTATCAGACAGTCAGTGAGCAACAGCCCACACTTAGCCAAATGGGAGCACATGTTTTAGTTGGCTCATCATCGATGCGAGTGGTTTTCAGGTCTCTTTTCCCCAGATGACGTCCCAGTGCTAGGTTGAGAGATTGATTAGACAGGTTGTTGGTTGTTAGCATGCATACATTCTTTTGGTCGCATGTTCGCGCGTTTTTTCGTTCATTCGTTCGTTCGGATTGTCGTGGCGCATGGTGATGATAGTGATGTGTGAATAAAAGGAAAATCCTAGCAGCAACCACCCTCGACTCCCCATGCGCTTGCTGTTAATGCTTCCTAATCAACGTGTCTTGGCTTGAATACAGGCGAACAACAGGTGTACGGACACGAAGGCGTACGTTAACACAATCCTCGCAATGTCTACACACACAAACACACGTGGACAACCCGTTCCAGACATCATAATCCGTCGATCACAATGTCCTACAGGTGATCACATTTGCGGATAGAGGGGCACACGCAACAAGAAAGGAAGCCTCTTAGTCACGGCTCGGCATAGATAAATGTGCGTGTGTGTGTATGGGCGCGCGCATGTAGGTTTGACGACAATTCTCACATCAAAAATATGAGAACTGACAGATGTTACACCACATCTGCTTACATACAGTCCCAGGGCAAACACAGGCCTTCCTCCATCCAGCTGCTCATCAAACTAGTGCAGGTCAAACAGTCAGGTAGGCGATAGTTACTTGGTAAGTGGGGATCACAAGTTTCCGACGATAGTGATTTTGACGCAGGTGTCGTTTCAACCACACAGCTTGAGCATTTGTTGGTATTGCTGGGTTGGTTTCGAAAAAGGAATGGATGTCGCTGTGCTTAACATCCAGACATCGGCGCAGAGTTGCTCGTTACCGAACCTTCTTGTTCGATCCTAAAAGACCGGACCAACGAGTTCGACTTGCTTTTGCACTTTCACAAGTGAGGTAGACTGGCTGCTGATCGTATTAGATGACGGGGTTTGGAATACCCACCAACTCACTGATGATCTTCGAAGATTTCCCCCTTCTTCAAGAGTTCCTGGCCTATTAATTTTGTCTGACTACACAGCTCTGTGATTAAACCGAAGTTCACGTTGGTAAGACAAGCATATACCCCTCTCGTCTTGTTGATTGGTGCGTTTCAAAGCTAGGCAGACCGGGGTTAGGTAAACATACCTAGTTAGTGCGGTTTGTGGGCAACTGTCATATTGCTGAACGTGTAGTGTTCTTGATTCTGTCAAATGGCTCCACACTTGGAAAACAACATCAGCCAGAAATGACCGTTTCCCTAATCTAGTTCTGAATACGCGCGACAAGCATTACAAGCACTTAAGCGCATGTTGATTTCCTAGAGTTCGCACGTTATTTTCAAGGACGTGAACTGGATTTGGCTTACGCCTGGACAGCACTAAGCCGACTTCCGTTTCTAGTCTGCAGTTTGACAAGAAGCTTGAAATTAAATGGACGCACACCCAGCAGTAATCGAGTTGTCTACACCTGCTTACCGTGACTTTTTCGAGGGAATGTAAATTTGACTTAGTCTCGTTCAGATTTTGATTGATATGTATGGAACCTATCCAGCCAAAGTAGATCTAGCCAACCAGTTAACGGATTGGTGTCTGCACACACACACACACACACACACACACACACACACACACACACACACACTAGGAGTCTTCTGACCTCTGTGAGGGGATGACCTTTTTAAAATTACGGGTAGCCTATCAAACTGTTTGACGTTTGATGAATGAATGTTTATGGTTTGACCGAATGGTAGACAACGCTCATCAGTCGAATCCAGTTTTATCGCTTCAAACGTTCAGTATGCCTGTGTTCCTGCCACATATATGTGTTTGGCATGTCAACCAGATGTCAATCATAATGCTCGAACCCAGTCGCCTGTCTGGACTTCTACCAGCTTAGCCAACTTGGCTTGTCGATGTCCGCTACAGCAACGTTGTATGTGAGTGTGGGACAAGCGTGTGCGTGTGTTTCTGTGCGCTCGCTCCGCTGGGCCCAACGACACAAGTCATCTTTCTTTCACTGGATTAGCGTCAGTCAAACTGTCATTCAATCAGGTTGGACAGGATGTTGACTGAATAGAGTTTGGGGCATGGTTAGTGGGTTGTCGTACACACACACACAGCGACATAAATACACGCATTGCGTACACTACCTCAGACATGACTATCCACCATAGACAGCGAAAGACATGCTGCCTGGCGCACGTGAACTATCCCTCCTCTAAATTCCTCGGATGATGGACATGTGCACAAGTCTGGCAAAGTTGACATGTTCAGCGATAACAAGCGTGTTGGGAAGCTTTAACCGGAAAAAATACAGCACCGGATCGTGGTTCGTGCCCCTGCAGGAACCGAGGAGCTGAAGTTTGGAAGCAGCTTCCTTGTCACAATTTCAATTCACTACCGTTTGCCATTCGCATATGTCCTCAAATATGGTAAAAATAGTGGACGGTAGAACCTCTGCGTGTCTGGGCCCTCACCACTTGATCAGCACATGAACACACGACACAGCTTTTTGGTGCTGACTGCCACCTATCTCACTTCCGATCAGGAGAGAGCAGTAGGGGGCGGGGGTTGGAAGACCTCACACAAACGATGAAAGACCCGAAGTTGGTATGTATATCAAAAAGTAGAAGTAACCTTTTTCTCTCGACGGAGTGCACTATTCACTCTTCGATAACCTTTGACCGGTTTCGTTCATCTTGTGGCTTATCACGCGGGCGTATTCGCTGAGTTAGTTTCAACCTCATGTTACGAGCAATCGGCAAATTGCATTTGTTTGCAAACTAAGTCTACGTTAAGGAGAGAAGCAATTGAGTCGCAGCTGACTGAAGGGCGGAATCGGTCGTGCGCTGACCGAGGGTGGGGTGAGTAGTGTGTGTTCTATCGAGAAAATACTGTTCATTGTCTGGAATAGCATAATGACCGGAACACGAGGTAGCGTTTGTGCAGCACATTCAGGAGAAGCTTCAGCTGGAATTCGTCTGAGTCTCCCGTTAAGCTTAAGTGAATCTGCAAAGCAGTCTGGTCCACCAATGCAAGGAGCTTAACCGTGAAACAAGCTCAACCGTTTCTCCGGGTGTGAATACATGGACCAGGTCACACTGCTTCCCAATCGCGTTGCAACCGATAAAGCGCCACAAAATGTTCAATTTCACAATCCGCATACCCTTTTTATGCTGTTCGGGTGGATCAGGATGACAATGTTTCTTTGTTTGAGCCGTTAATGACCGATATCGCTGCAATGAGTATAAATGCTTTTAGTTCTGAATAAAAAAGCTGATTTTGTGCGTTGGACAAAACACAGTGCAAGACGAAGAAGGTATTGCCTCACCTGTCACCCAACGTTGACCTCAAGCAGCAGCAACTATTTGCATCTTGATGATTATCCTGGTACATGAGTGTACCATACAGTTTAACACAGCAACAGCCCTATTTTCTGTTTAATCAAATCCGTCAACTGAATCACGTTTTTATAAAACTGCACCTGATCCTCATCTGCCACTACTTATAACCAAATCAGTAAACGATCAGGTTCCGATTATAACCGTTGTTCACTAGAAGAAATCCTTGAAGACCGAATGCTTCAGACAGTAGATATAAAAGGTCAGGTCCTACTTTGTTCATCATTCCGTCACCATAGCAAATGGGGATCGATATTGTCTAAAGGGTAGCTCATTACATTCATCGGTAAGGGAACACCAAACGGATTGCTTGAAATTCTCTGCATCTTCACTCAAGCTTTCCTGAGAGGGAATACCAGAAGTGTAACTTTGCTTTGATCCATTTGGCTATGATAGAATGCACACTGGTTGTTTTACTGGGATGCACGAACGCATCTCTCGAATGGAATGACTCTAGGTGGCAGCTGAAGTTACTCCACTATGGACGATTTCAGCAATTTATCCTCAGCAAAATTTGAGTGCAATCGCTTTACCAAGACTTAATTCAACAGCCTCTTTTGAGATTTTCATTTGGGGCTAACATTCCAATATAATGAGTTTCCCTAAGGAGTTGCACTTCCACACTAGCTTGATGATTTTACCGACCAAATCGACTGTCTAGCAAAGAGGACTTAACTTCACCACAACTTAATTAAGTTTCACCATCTTGGTTTGCAAATTACGTGAATACTGACTTAATTCGTTTGCAGGTTCTTGTCTGGTGACTCCCGAAAAAGATACAGCCGACGGCTGCACTACTGAAGTCAAGTCACATTCGCGCAGTGCACCGGGTTTGTCAAGTAACAATATATCTCCGAGTTCACTCAGTACGGAAAGTCGCCGAAGTGAACTATCCTACACCGGACATCAGCGTGGTACACAAGACTCACTGTTGAACAGAAATTCAGCATTCAGCGATGTGAGTGCAAACGAAGGTGATCACACATGCACTTCAAGTACAAACCAAGGACCCAGTAACGTTGTTGGTCCAAGTGGACTTTTCAGCATACGTCGAGCCGTCGGGTTATCACGAACCAATCTGCCATTCCCTGCACGAAAGCGCCTGTTTGGTTGGTTGGTAGATCACTTACGAGAGCCTTACCCATCCGAAGAGGAGAAGATGATGCTTGCAATGGAAACCGGTCTATCAAGAACTACAGTCAACAACTGGTTTATCAATGCACGCCGCCGGTATGTCAAACCACTCATGCAAGGTCGTCTTGTGCTACAGTCGGGCGTTTTCAAAACCGTCTCTAGCGAGAGTTGTACTCCCATTTCGCCATCATCACCAACTAGTACATCTGGCTATAATGCGGCTCAAACCTCACCAAACGCCTCAGCATTTCCTTCTACTGTTAAACCAAACTGCACACAAAATGCCATGTCAGACAATCCCCTCAATATGGTACGTGGTGAACGACCTGGATCAAGGCGTGGATCAACTGTGTCTCAGTTCTCCTTGCCCTTCAGCTCCTCTGTGTTTCCATCAACAAACGCTTCTGCAACATCCCTAATCGGTGAAGTGCCATCAATCCCATCTAGTTTGGCCGCTGCAGCAGCCGCTACATCACCCTTCAATTCCAATCTTTTCCAGCAGCAAGCCATCACATCTGTGCTATCTAGCCAAAAAACTGGTTCAGGAGAAGGTTTGTCAGCGATGGCAATTGCGGCTGCTGCGGCTGCTGCCTTTGCTAGAGCTGGGATCTCTGCATCGAACAGTGTATCCGATCCCGGTACAGTGTTCACATCCGCTTTCAGCACGGCCCTCGGTTCCTCCCTATCTTCTTCGTCCCCTAATTCTTTGCCCCATTTAACTACCCTATCCGATTCGTCCCTGGAACTAAATGCTTTGGACAAGAGTTCACTCATGTCGAAAAGCATTCTTTGTGCGACCAATTCGGAGAAGCTTTCTGGAGACTGACAAATGTCCACAACCCAATAACCCAGTAACAATTTGCGTCAAACACTTAGAGTTTCCCAGGCGGCCAAATCAGTCCTTCAAAACTGGCGCGTGAGTGATGAAGACCAAGTGCATATTTACCCGCCGCGTGTGGTTGTAAACTTCTGGCAAGCTGATTAGGATGCTAGTGTTGTCATCAAGGGATCCGCAAAGCCCAAATGAGTGTATACTTGTCTGACGTTCATCTAACAATGAGCATAATCATGTGAATAGTATCTTTTGGATCGTGCACCGGATTAATTTGACCTAAACCCATATCACACATCGGTACCGGTCAGGCTGCAACCCATTTAATCAACGCACTCTTTTGTGAACATGTACTTTTCAGCAGCGTTGAGACCACATTTCACGGAGACTGTTTGCCATCTCTTTGTTGTTTTTGCTTCCTTTCTTGTTCATTCACAAGCGAGTCGTATAGTTTTCTTTACAACATACTGTTGTTTTCCTGTGCATCACTGATTTCGGACTCAGAAGCAGTCCATCTTCGGATCCAACTTTACCATCCTACTCATCATTCGTATTCTTGTTCCGTTTCATTCGCCTTCTGCGTGTTATTGCTACCGCTACTACTAATGCCAATGATACTACTTGAAGGTTTTCCCCCTTGAAGACGATGATCGTTACCAGCACACCTCCCCTCAATTCGATCCAAACCGAGTTCAATATACCTGTCTGCGGATGCGCGAGAAACAGATAACCACTCGTACACGCGCGTGCGCGACTGAGCAGACCTGACACGCAAGCAAAATCCATGTACCAATCACTGCGTGACCCTGCATGTTTTCACTGTGAAAGTTTCAGTCTACACGATGCGTTTCCCTTTTTTGGATAAACAGATTGCTGAACACACAAACACATACGTACACACACCCCTGCACACCCATAATTTTGTCTGTCTTGTTCCTGCTGCTTTTTCTAAGAGATCAATTGCAATGATCACAGGTACCAGTCGAACTGGCTGATTGCATGTTTTGATTTTTCCAAGCTTGCTGATCCAATGTGGTCAGCCGTCAACAGTTACGTCTGTGTAGCGTTGGAAAGCTCGAAACGCGTTAGAATTTTAGAGGCCAAGCACTGTCTCAGCAAGAGACCTAGCGAGAGAAATTTGTTGAGCATGCCCGCTCAAAGGACACAGCAAATCGAGGATAAGTTTTATAGCTCCGTTCCTACATCTTGCGAGCAGACATTAGCACTGAGGCGTGAATATCCGTGACGATGGCAGTATGTATGGGGATTAGCAGCCTCGAAGACAGGTTAAGCGGTCTCCATCGCCGAAAGAGGTTCGGCTGCGCACAGAAAAACGACATGACAACATAGAGCAACGTTATATCAATGCACACTTCCGGGGCCTCCAGTATGTTGCTGGTTAAACAAACGAATACTGTTCCACGTGCTAAAGAGTTGCGGCCAGGTAACATCTACTTTTTGGTTGCACAGCCAGTCCTGTATAGGCCTACTCATTCCATCGCTGGTCTGACGTTCACCGGAATGAGGAGGAAGGAACACTATTTTTTGAAAAGAAAATTAAAACGAACAGTAATGTCCGACATCCGAAGCTGTGTTGAAAGACTGTCATAAGACTCGGCAGAGACATAGCGGAATGAAAAGTAATAGTAAAGAAAGCTAACGTTACCCCAACACACGATCATTCTTAGATACTTGGCTTTAGACTCCACGGATTCTTGAAGCTAGTCAATTATCACGACTTTACATTTGTTAGACTAGAAGTGGTTCGAATGAAATCAGATACAGCGTGGGTGCACGGTACTCATGCCATTTCAAATCCAGACGAGTGCTTTCAGCTTAGAGCTATGTGGTTCATATTTGACTGCCCACTGAAATATGCATGGAAGCGTGATCAAGTATGCTAACATCCCTCTAAGAGGTTCTGTTATTGTATGATTTTCGCGGAGATACATTCAACCACGGTCAAACGGAGCGCCTTCAATAAAAACCACCTCTGAATCAAATCATCATTAGCACGACGGTTCCAAGTAACACTGAATTTGTTATTGCTCTTGGAGCTGTTATTATTACCAAACTGGCAGGAGTATCGCATAGACGTGATGAAAGAACCACTATTCTGCGTTTGCTGGTAAACGCTTCAGTGAACTAGCACCCTGTTGAGCAATCATCAGGTTATCTCATCCATGTAAGCAAACATCTACGTTGTGTGTGCATAAAGTTTTTCGGGATATTTGGCGTTAAGAAAACAGCTTGATAAATAAAGTGAAAGGAAGTCACGACACCAAAAAGCCAAGAATTCAAAGAGGCCATCAATGCTCTCGTTTTCTTCTCAGGAATTTGGAAAAATAACGAGGAACAGCCGCGAAAATGTCAGTGAGGAGGCGCTGACCATAGACACTGATTTCATCACGGTGGCTACCCCTTTGATCCACTAAAAAAGGGAGTACCGAATCGGCTGTAAGGTTCAGTGATGTGTAGCAAACATCAGTAGATCAGTCTTGCTGTAAGCAGGAGTTTGATGGTTCATGTCCACCTTCGGCATACATTTTCATTCATGAAGCCTGTCCCTAGACTTTTGATTTCAGGAAAATAAACGGTCAATTTTCTGTTCTGAACTTTTCAGTCGATGAGTGAGGTTTCCCCATCGAGGACCTAGAGGTCGCCCATGAAACAGCTATGGTTACAGGTACACATTGATCGACGCCAGCCTCGTTGGTACAGCTCGCCTGTCCTGACACAGAATCTTCCACAGTAGACGTGAGTTTCACAGAGGACAAACTAAAAATTGAATTACACCCTGTCTATCGAGTTTGTAGCTGCACCGACAAGTAGTAGCAGTTTATATCCTATTATCAAAACTGAACCCAAGAGAATGTTTGTAGTTAGGAGCTAATTTGCTCACTGGTCTTTTCGAACAGTGGCTTTCTCGCTAAGATTACCAGCCAGGTACAAAATACATTTTTAGATTTCTTTGATAGCTTCAGAGAACACTAGGCTATCACTATACCAAAAAAGCTTCAGGAGTGATCAGAAGGATCTGGTAGATCAGAATGAACTGATTTCCTAGAAAGTGTTAACTCCTTAAGTCCAATTTAGTGGCAAGGTTCGATATGGTTACTCACTAACTCATAGCCCGAATACATGTTATAGCACTTTGGGCTGGAAAAAGGTACAAGCTACATGAATGGATGTAATTTAGTCACTCAAACGTCACCTAAAACCCAAAGTTGCTGAGCAAAGAATCGGTCAGAAACTGCTGTTTTACTGCAGTCCTTTGGAGGTACGGAATTTTAAAAATGTGATTGTTTGCTTGTGAACACGATTAGAACGAAATTATGGGATTTCTCAGAAGACGTCACGCAACTTACAACGATAATAGCATTGAGATACGGATGACAAACTCAGCTATTTACGCTTTATCATAAGGGATTCCCCATCTTATAGACCTCATGCACTACTCACAAGGTTGCTGAAAACTTTCACAGTCCGTGACCGGTTTCGCTCTTCTTGGGTCTCATCAGGTATGTAGCGGGCAAGGACCTAAGTATGCGTGTTCAATAAAATATACAATCAAAATATCAGATTAGAAATAACAAATGGCAATAAGAAATGGACAAGTGAATGTAACAGACTCACTAAACTGGGGGGTCCAATAATCCCACTACACGAAATGTTGTGCAGTAATCGTATTCGGCGGCGAAGAATATATCCAGAGTAAGAAGGGTATTCTCCACTGATAGTTCGAGTGTTAGAAGTAAATTTCACGGTAGGAAGTTATCACAGCTGAAAATTGTCGCAAGGAGTTAGTGTGACGTTCAACAGTTCATACACAAACACAATAATCCAATCCCACGACTTCAGCAAACAGCAATCAGTTCAATCGGATGCAATTTCACTGACTCAGCAAAAAGCAGGGAAGTCGCGCCAAGAAATTGTGTATTTTTTCCATTTTCGATTTTAATGTAATTATTGGTACAATAAAACAAAATGTCATGATACGTGTACAGTGTTTACAAATTGCAATTCAATTTTATATGAAGAGAGTAGAAAATGGGGAAAATGTAGCATTGATTTGCAAAACACCACAGGTAGGTGCAACCTTGTGTTCTACTTGAGCCCAAACTGCACGAAATTAGCGAAATACACTCATATGGAAATCAATTTGATTTTTCGAAAGATTCACCTAGAACTCAACTAAACTACTCGTTCATGATGTTTTTAAGCAACCGAATGTGCTGCATCAAACCGCCCCATGTTTCCATTGGTACAATATTTGATACATGAGTAAACGTTATACACTACTAATCATAGACGAGAGATTCAGCTGGATTCCAGGTTAGTCTCCTACCAAAACCAAATTGGTTCGCAAATCAATGCATCTCGCGGATTCCCCATCTTTCGGTCACCCTGTATGACACCATCCTCACAGTTCCGTCCCGTATAATCCACTCATTTTTCGTTACTTGGAGTGTAGATGGGCCTAACAGCTTAACCACTAAAGTGAGATATTCGAGCCCAAAGCATGCAGTAGAGTTTCCGTTGATCGGTCAGTTTCCCCACTTACATTGTTACACTTGTAGTATGGCTGGAGCGCTATCTTTCATAATTCTGCAACTCATGTGGACAGTATTCGAACTAGGACAAAACAAACAGAACTTTTCGACTCTCGATCACTGCTCATTGATTAGGATAGTAAAAGGTTTACGAAAGCTGGTCTAAACATTCGTGGAACACCTGAATCCATTCGCAGCACCGATTTTCACTCTAGCGGTGACGAAACTTTTGAGACCTGGTTTCCAGGCTCGGTTAGCCATCTAATTAACAACCGGTAAATCCACTCGAACTACCAGTAGTTCGACGTATTGCGGCTCAGCACTTCGCATGAATTGTCCAACTGGAAGCCATAATAACAACCAAGTTGATCGCTGTGTTTTGACAGTCGTACGCGGATTGGATAATCACAAGACTACTCTCACAGTTTGCGTCCTGCGGGA